CAAGGGTTTCCTCAGCGCCACTCGCTGAGAAATATTTTCTGTCAGATAAGAGATCTTTAAAAAGAAAAAATATCATGATGATTTTCTCTAGTTTTCTGACAAATTCTGAAATTAATTATTGGAATTGCACCATTCCTCTGCCGTAATTGGATAGCTGGAAAGGATCTTAACAGCTGTCAGGAATTCTCAAATGAGTAGAATTGAGTGCTAAGGCTTCTGAAAGTGTTTATAAGTGAGCTCTACTCGCTGGTGTTATTAAATGATTTCATTCATTAGAACATCCAGAGTAGTTTGCCCTTCCTTCTGGTTAATGTGCTCTGTAGGTTTGCCACAGCTTTTTTATGGCATATGTTGAAATCTCCTTCCCAGAACCAGTACTTTAAGGATAATAATGGCAATAGCAGGCAGAGGAAAAAGACCCTCTTGCCTTTCATGGTGAAACTTGGCCCACTGAGTGCATTTGTTTGCTTTTCTGATTTATTTTCTCTTGATCAGAACCATCTGACCCTTGTGTTTAAAGGACCATTCTTTGCAGTTTGAAGTCTGCCTATTATAATATCAGTTCTGCAACCTGCAGTGAGAGGAGCAGGCAGATGCATGCTCAGCTGATACTTAACAAATCTGGCTCTCTTCTCATGCAGAATCCACACCTGGGGCATACCAGCAGTGTCCTTGGTCCCTATACAGGGGACAAAATCCAGGTTGCAAAGTTACAGATTCTCCATTTATCAGAATTTTCCTACATGTGCAAACTACTGTCTGCAGTTTTCCTACAGGGACCTTTCCTCCTTGTGTTTGGAGCTTTTTTGCTCAGTTTGAAATACATTTTCCTCTCTGCTGCACGAGAAAGCATTCCCAGCCTTTCCATTATGCATGCTGTTTTTAAAGGCAAAACCAAAAATATTGGATGCTAAGGGAAGTGTACCCAGCAGCATGAGGAAAATGTGCTAACAAGTCAGCCAGTATCCACCCATCTTGTGGACAGAACCAAGATCAGTGCTTCAGTAGTGAGATCATGCAGGCTTTGGGTGGAAACAAAGAGAAGCGAGATGGGGATTGCTGTGGTGTGTGGGCTCTGTGTTTTGTGTTCCTCAGATCTCCACTGTCAGAACAGAGCAGTTGACAGTTTGTGTTTACTTTGGTACAGTGTCAGAGCAGAGGGAGAAGCAGTTCTTCTCCTGGGGCCACGTTTCTTGTTCTTTGAGAGTGCAGTTTCATTTGTCAGTCGAGCTGGTCTAAGTTGGCTTTGCCTCCAAATTATATCCTCTTGCCCCTTCCCTTTTTCAGGCAGCATGAATGTGCTGTTGGTCACCAAGAGGAGGAGGCTGAAATCCAAATGTTTTTTTTTCCCTTGCCATGTGAGCTCCATGATCTGGCTGACTGCTGTGGCTCAGCAAAAGGAGCAAGAGTAGGAGATGACAGGTCCACAGCAGAACAGGTTCCAGGTTTAGTAGATTGTGAAACAATACCTTCACTGACAACTCCTGATTGAAAGAGTCTGTTTATGCTTAAAGTTCTACCGGCTTTCCAAGTGGTAAATTCTAATGACAAACAATTAATTGGAGTTACAGAAAGAGTCAGAAAGCAGCAGTCTCTTGTTTTGTGGCGGAGGAGCTCTCCTGTTGATGTGAAACTTCTTGATTTTGCCAAAACACCATTTTTCTATGGACCAAATGAAACCAGAAAACAGGTTCAGGGCAGCTCTTGTCACACACTGTTTTGGTAATTCAGCATCATTTAGGTACATAAACTGGGAGTTGAGCTCATTTGGAAAATGTGTCTTAATTTTTTGGTGGTGAACCATGAAAATGTGCTGCCTTTGTGGAGGGGTTACTAGTCAGAAAGAATAGAATTGTCACAAAAATTGCTGCTTCAGGTCTGAAAATCCTGGCTCTTAATTCAGAACCTAACCTCCTCTGAAAATTCCAGAACTCCTCAGACAGGCACTCGCCAGTTACTGAATTGTATAGATACATGCCTGGTTTAACTTCTGGTTTAAAATGTTCTGATTAAGGAGTCACTTTTGATTTACAGGAGTCTGAGATTAGAAACTGACCCTGGTAAGTTTCATCCTTGTGTGGTTTGTCTCTTCTTATGGGGTAAGTCTCTCATGTAAGCAAGTAATGTGTTAAAAGTGAGTATGGTTGTGTGATTGAAGTTTTCAACACAAACTTGTGCAGGGCTGTGTTAACTACACAGAGATTTTCCTTCAGTCAGCAACCAGGTACTTCTCTGAAAGCATCTTGTTTCATTGTGGCTTTGAATTCTGTAGTGAATCTGTTCAGGTGACCTCACAGCAGCATCCTACAGTCTGGCATGGTGGGTTGGAAGCAGCAACAATTTCTTCACAGCATGAACCTGCCACAGCTCTTCCTGGTTTTTCTTTGAAGTAGGTCAAGTCTGGGAGGACACTGTAGACCCCTCATTCATTTTTCTATTCTACCTTCCAGAACATGGAGTAGCGAGATCACCCACTTCATTCTGTGTGAGCACTAGCAGCTTGAGCGCAGGAAACGCAGGTAGTGCATGCTGGACCTAAATCAGAAAGCATCATACCTTGGCTTGATGAGGATAGTCTGCAAAAGGAAGCTCGTAAAAGAGGGGTTTCCATTCAGTTGTTTACAAATGATTCTTTTCAACTCTGTTCTGTGCCTTTTCTTTGGTTTTCTGGAGATAGGGGGACTATTGCAGGATGTTCATACAAACACGGCACCACAGCTAGGCTGGGTCACCATCTCATTGTCCAGCGCATGCAGCTGTGAGCTTGCAGTCAGAGTTGCAGGGAGCTGCCAGCGGCTGCTGCTGCCGTCACTGAAAATCCCTCCTGAACCCTTTCTGCAAAGTGCCAAACTTAGGAGGTCTGTCTTGACTTGTTAATGTGTAGTTACAAACCATGTGGGAATGTGATCTAACCAGCTAAATAATGCTTTAACCTGACTACCATGAGCACGTTGCTTACTTTCACGCTTCCATGCACGCTAAGTGATCACATCCTATATTCTGTGTTTCATATAGTTGTATTTAGCCTTTGATGGATCGGTGATGGAATCATCTTGAGCTACCAAGAGGCTGAATGCACTTGACAATGTTAGTAGCAGACAGAATAGATTTTGTAATGGAAATATGTTTCATCTACATGTCTTGACATCACACTGTCAATTGAAGTAATTGTTATTTTAAGTTAATATATGTTGGGTCCTTTGTTTTGCCTTGTGTGTGCATGTGTGTGTGCACCCAAGTTCTGATCTTGATCTTTCTGTTTGGAGAAAAACAAGAACTTTCAGCAAAAGTTACTCAGACTCCTTCCAGATGATAAACAGAATTTGAGCTAAGGCTCCTGTTAGCAGTGGTGCTCTGCCTCTTGTATCTGGCAGGCTCAGTCCTGAACCCTGACCCCAACACCTATTTGTACTTTGTACAGGTATTTCTCACATAGTGATCATCTTCTTGTACAACTGTTTTCTGCAGTTCTGACATGCAGGGGTTCACACGTAACCCAAGGCTTTTGTAGTATTACATACAACTATTTGAAATCATACCCACATGTCCAAAAGTAAACTAGCAGAAACAGAAAAGCAGTGGACTTTTTTTTATTTTCTTTTCTGTTTCCTTGATGTTCTGTGGTTTGACCAAGACCTTTCTATTTTCTTCTTTGAGTTGCCACCATGCAGGTTTTTTTATGTAGGCCTCTTTGGAACTGTTCTTGATGTCTGGGCTATTTAAGCCAAAGTTCTGTTCATTTTGTCCTGGTGGTAGCTACTTCACAGAGAGTACATTATTTCAAATTTGTGCTTGTCCAAGACTCTGCCTTCTGTTTTTTTTTTTTTGCCATAGCAGAATGAATCTGTTCGTTAGCCCAACCAAGTTATCACAGTTCAGCCATAGAGACAGGCAGCTTGGATTCCGAGATATAAAGAGCAAAGTGCCACTCTGGGAGTGTTGATTTAAGCCTTGTAATGCTTCTGTGCCCTTGTGTGGGCACCTGGTCTGCAATAGTGCTGGTCACCAGCATCTGCCGTATCGAACAGATTTGAGAGATTACTGTTTTGTACTGTAGGTGTGCAAATACAAACAGCTGCCAGGATTGTCCAAGCCAGTGGCTCTCAGCCTGACACATGAACTGAAAAGTTCTCCATGCTAAAAAGATAGTTGGGATGGGAAGCAGGGAGCATTCTTTTGCCTCATGTTGATGATTGTTCTGTCCCACTGCCAGACTTTTCAAAATCCTCATTTATCTATTTCTAGTCTCCTTTTATACTGTTTCTTATTAAGATCCTGCTTAATAAAAGCATTATTTCCTGCTTCAAGCAGGTGACCCAAGGAAATCTGCAAGCAGTCTATAAAGTTCTTTTTAGAGCAAAATCCAGGTGATATTTACCAGCAGATCCATGTGTAATTAAGCCTTAGGCCTCATTGGAGTGTCTGTCGCCGAGTTCTGGGGATTTTCTGTTTTCCTTCTCAAATAAGGATATTCTTTGAGTTGGGTTTACAAGCTGGTAAGAACAAGTACAAAATGTTACCAGTGTGTCATTTTGGATTTGATTCATAGCAAGGAAAAGCAAAGTTTCCTGTTAGAACAGGTATTCTCAAGTTTCACCTGCAAGTCTTGAATGAGGAGCCTAAAGCAAACATGTATAAATTTGTCACTGATAGGGGTGGGATTTGTCCCAAGCTACTTGACAGCTGGTCTTCTCCTCCTTTATTCATGATATTGCACAATTAGCCATTACATAAAGGTTTGTCATTAAATGCATTTCCAAGGACAGTATGTGTAACTTTCCCCATTTTACTGACTGAGGAAGTTAAGGTCTAGAAAAAGGAAGTGATTATTCACAGAGCCTGGAGAGGAAATTGAGTCCAGAATTCCGTGTAATAGACCATGTAGACAATGTTACATGCCCTAAAATAACCATTGCATTTCAGACATGCATTCCAAAGATATAAAATACCCATTGCTCTTCTTTTTAACTAGCTAACCCTCTTTCTTTCTTTTTTTCCAGCTGATATCTTGGAGTCAGGATGTGAAAACAAATGACTTGTAACCCAGCAAAACTTTTGGTAAGTCAATTAAATTTCATACAAAAGGAGTATGGTCAGTAATCCTGCTGTAAGGCTTTACTTACTAGTCAATTAGATGCAGTAGAACAGAAAGCATACAGCTGTTCAGTTAGACATTACTACTGACATGCTTGTGACAACAGGTGAAACTGTGACTGTCAACAGGCTTGCATGGAAGAGACAGCCCACTGCAGAGAAGGTGCAGAGGAAGTGCCAGGAAAATGGTGTTGGTGAAGCTGAGAATGCAGAAATCCCTTTATTTGCTCTGTGACTTCAGGTCTCAGCCCAGCTCTTTGAAACTGCAACTGGCAGAATAGTAATAATGTGTTGCCACAACAGCATTATCTGCCCCTGTTGATGTCCTGGTGCAAAACACAAACCTTAAAACAGCTTGGCTCAGAGCAGCTAAATGAGTTCAATCTCCTCTGTAAGCTCTTGCCTCTGTGGGGCCTTTACACAGCATGGAGAGGCTGCACCAGATGTTGACAGGTCTCTTGTGCACAATTTGTGTCCTTTTTGTTTATCTGCCATGAGTAAACTCAGTGGTCCTGGTCTTGTTCTTGTCAGAATCATCCTGTCTCTGATGGGTATTCTCTGAGGTCAATGGATGTTCCCAGTGCCTTGTGGCCTTCGAAGCTTAGTCCACTGGATTTGGGGAGTTTTTTGCTGTTAATTATTCTGGAGCCAGGGGCTACAGTCTTGATTTTGTTTTCTGCTGTAGTTGAATCTGAGTAAGGAGTCCCCATTTTCATTCATTCTTTCAATCCACAGATACAAAAGACAACTCTCCATTGGCTGTAAATCAAGACTGCCATGGTCATTTAAAGTCAGAAAATGGGATGGCTGGAGGAGAGCTGGCGGGGTCCTGCAGCTGTTCTTACATCCATTCTCAAATCGAGTTTCTTCAGTTAGTAGGAAGATTTTGTGCAGAAGGACTTGGTAGAAATCAGGTTGCACAAATGCTTTTTTCCCAGGAGCTTCCATAAGCTGCATTATTGCATGTTATTTTATTCCTCTTTTTTTTCTCTCTCTATGGAGCTGCAAAAGTGACAGCACTTTAAATGGAAAGATTTGCAGCAAGCCATCAGTCATTGTGCATGGAGGATGGATCTCCTGGTTTAGTCTTGCTCGTGCTTCCATAAATCAGCATAGCTAAAATATTTGTGGTTGTCTGTAGGAGATTTATGCAGGTGGGAGATTAGAGTCAGTCTGTCATTTTTGTGGGGGAAGTGAGAGATGGAACGGGCTGGGGAATGCTGGCTTGCAGGAAGGAAGGATTTATATTAATGTTGGTGGATACTTAGGGGTTCCATAGAGACAACTAGCAAAAATCCTATATGCGTCTGTGTGTGCTCATGTGTATGCATCCCTCTGATTTGGAAGCAGGCTGTTGTTCCCCTGCATCATTTTTTAGTTAGTGGAGTCAGAGATGTTGTGAGGAAAGGAAAGTTTCCATACATCTGCCATCAGACTTGGTTTTCTGTTTTCTTTAGGTCCAGAGTGTTCTGTATATGGGTTACTATTGCTGACATATGCCTATCTTGCAAATTGGCTGTGTGAGGAAGTGTGTCCAGTTAAAAAGATCTCTTAGACTGCCTCTTGTCCCACAGTCACTGAATGGGAGCTTGGGTACTTTTGCTACTAATCATGACTGCATAAGTTCATCTGAGATGGGGATGAAGAGAAAGGAGGTGCATGCGAAATATGTATTCTAATATTGGCAGCAAAATCCAGGGCACATTTTCAGTTGCTGTGACACTGTGTGGCTCCACTGACCCTCATGTTGCACTAATTCATAGCAGCTATGACTGTGTGGCTCTCTCAGTCTCAGGCAAAGGCCAGGACTAAGCTGGGTGAAGGTCATGACTGTAGCTTCTCTTTTGCCTCATTACTAATGAGATAAGCTGTGTTCATAGAATCCCAGAATGGTTTGGGTTGGAAGGGACCTTAAAGCTCATCCAGGTCTAACCCCCCTGCCATGGGCAGGGACACCTCCCAGTAGACCAGGTTGCTCAAGGCCCTGTCCAACCTGGCCTAAGTGCTTGCTTAGTTTAGGCAAGGTTCAGCAGACAATGGGGAGGCTGCAGAGCCCCAAAACCTTGTAAATACATTTTGGAAAGCCTAAAAACCAAAAGCGCTACAGAAAACAACAGTGCTCAGGAGTTCTCCAGCCTTCTTTCTCCTTTTTCCCAATAGCAGGTTTCTGATTTTCAAAATACCTCTGATTTGCACACACTGATTCTTTTTCTCCCCCCAGTTTCACTTCAGACTGAGCTGTAACATGATACAAGCAGGCAGCAGCAGCAGCTTGCCTTCAGAGCACAGCCAAGGGTGTCCTGCGTCATTCCAGCAGACAAGTAGGCATAGTCCTGTACTGAATCCCTTTCTTTAGGATTTGAGGAAGGTGCAACTCCATCTACAGGGCTCCCAAATTCAGCACACAGACCAGTGGTACCAGGACTTGACTAGGTGAAAAATTACCCCCTAGTTCAGTAAGGCAAAATGAAAGACTCCATTGCTTTACTAATAGAAGAAAGATGCTTTGCCAGTACTATCCAATGGAAAAAAAAAAAAGCCATGAAAAGACACATTAACAGGTTTCTTGCAGCAGCATTGTTGTGCTTTGTCACTGTCATGTATTCTATTAAACTTCACTAAAAATCATTTCTAGGGCTGTGTGTAATAGGAAGGGACAGAGATCTTAGTCTTACATCAGATTTTTTTCCCATTCTCCATCTTTGCCAAGTCCTTATAAATCTTTGCAGTTGTAGAGACAGCCTAAAAAACTGCTAACATTTCCAACTACAGAGCATAACACTGAATAAGGAGAGTTGAAAAATTTCTGTCAAAACTGTGTTTAATGGAAAATAGAGTTTTGATAAAATAGCATTTTCACCAAAAATAGCTGCTTTCTGTGGAGAATGTTGGTTTTTCACTGCAATATTTTGACAGAAAATTTAAAATCTTGAGCTGAAGTATGTACAGCTGTTCAAGTCCGTCTCGTGCCACTCATATTTCTTCACCTCCTCAAATCTGAGGTATTTTGCCAACTCTTTGGTTTTTAACATTGTGATACTTGGGAGCTTTTGTCAAGCCCCCCTCTAGAGTCATGTCACAGGACTGTTAGCTTCATGTTTAAAAAGCTGAGTTTCTGTGGCTTTGGAAGTTGGGGGGATAAAAACCTCTTGAAAATGCTATCCAAGTACACCAGGAATTAGAAATCAAAGGAAGCAAACAAAAATTCTGTTTTATTGTTTCAAAGACTTCTCAAGGTTTTTAAGCCATTTCAAGACTGTTTCTCTCTAGAAAATGTTTCACACTCTAATTATTGTGAATACATTTCTCTGATAGTGCTTTTTTGCACAAGCTTCAACTGTGTGATTTGTTAACCAAATTATTTAAGGAATGTTAAAAAACACACAAGAAAAACACAAAAGAAAACCACCTTAATTTTGTGCTGTGAAGTGAGTGATGATGATGTATCCATTCCCAGGCTGTGGTAAAATCTATTGGAATTATGTAAAATATTGTGTGACTTTAAGATGTTGTGTGTGAGGGCATAGATAATCTAGCAGGTCGAGGTGAGCGCAGCAAGAGTTGCATAGAGACCCACTGGAAGGAGACAATGCACAGGATGCTCCCTCCACTCAGGCTGTGAGGAAGGCTGTGGTGCCAGCTCCCCCCCCAGTGTTTCTCTCCATGCTGGCTAAATGAAAGCAGCACTAGAACAGATACACAGTGTCAGGAAAAGATGCTCTGTGTCCTTTTCCTTTTCTCCTGATTCCTCCTGATCCCTTTCCATTCCCAAGCATCTCTGTTACACTGTTTCCATAGGACTTTGGGTTACAACCCGAAGATGTAGCTGTGTGACAGCTACAACAGGGTTCTCTCTGTTAAAATGACACCCTTGTTGCATGGATCGAAAGGGACTGAGGATGAAAAGCAGGAAAAGGGAAGCCTTGGAGACTTGTGGGCAGGAAGCATTGTTTTGCTTGTGCTTTCACTAGCAGTGACACTCCTCAGTGTTTCTTGTTACAGCTGCTATTGATTGGCTGAGATCCCTTTTTGAACTCCAAAGTTAAGATCTTGTTCCAGTGGTGGCTATGTGGAATCTACAAGTGCTGTTGTGTTTATCCCAGGACAATTGGAAAGTGAGGGTGCAAAATGGAGGTCTAATGAGCACACGGCTTTCTGGCGAGTACTGAATGGTGCTTGTTCCAAACTGGCCCTGGAGTCCCTTTCAGGAAGGATTCTTAACTGTAATGTTAATTTCTGCCATTCTTTTGGTTTGGGTGGGTTCTCTGTTCAGAAGGTAGTGGCCAAGTAGCAAAACTTTATTCTAGTAAGCATGTGGAAATCCTAGGCTGAGTCCATACTAGTAAAATCAAGGATGCCTGGGAATGTTCCCAGGAGTGTTCCTCAAATGTGGAATATGATACTGTGCTACTGAAGTGCTGGAATGTTTTTTGGCAGAATTTTGGCCATGCCAGCTGGTATTTTTCTGAAGTGTTCCCAGGTAGGGTTTGAAGTTGGAGGCAATTCCCAGTCAGGAGTGTATATGCAGTCACCCTGTTTCGGAGAAAGAATGGGATAATACCATTGAACACAACTCAGGGGGCTGTTTACATGTGTTTGTTTTAACTTGCACTCCAAGTGTCATGGTAGCCAATTCTGTGTTCAGTAATTGCCTTCGATCAGGCAGAAATACTTCTGGTCATTTAAAATGGTGTTCATAGTCATGAACTTTATGCAGCAGTGTGTGTGAATATATAATCAACTTTTGAACAGTAGGAATTATTTTGTGATGTTCTGGCTTTAAAGAAAGATCAAAGATGTGCTTTTCTAGAGCTATGTTCTTATGTAGTTGGAAGTTCCCAAACTCAAAAGACTCCAGTTTTGAGAGCTAATCTAGGAAAGAAATGTCCTAGGTTCATCTTTGTATTTATCTGAGGGTCCATGAAATGCAGGGTAGTGGCTAATGTAACATTCAGGCACTTGTA